TTTTAACAAATAGACCTTTCTATATATCTCTAATCGGTACGAAAATCATTCTCTTGAAACTCATCATCCTCTTCATCATAAATGATTTGCTTTCTTGAAGAAAAAGTATGAATAAACCTGAGAAAAATTGAAAACTACTAATGACACTTTTAGTTCAATCCTACAATCACCCTAAAATAATAATAACTAATTGCAATTACATATTCATTCTCACTTGAATTTCAATTTGAAGATAATCAAACTGAACAAAGAAAGGAGAAAGGCAACCAATCGAATAAGAAGGGGGCGCTGAGAGCAACTCAAGTCAAAGCGGCAGAAAGTTTCGTCCTGAGGCTTACAAGCGAACAACTTCAACGTCTCGCTCAATTCCTCAACACGGGGAATGCTGCATCAACAAATCAGAATTCGAATTCTGAATTACCAAGTACAACGAGTAAGAAGAAGAAGAAGAAGAAGAAGAAGAAGAAGAAGAAGAAAACAAGTAGAATAAGCTTGTTGGTAAGAGGAGAACTGAAAACACACTTGACCCACTGGTTCTTAGCTCTACAACTTCAAGAGTAAATTAGTTAATTGACCCGCGCTTTGCGGCGGGTACATTATTGTATTATGCATTAATATTATTGATTACAATAAATAAGAACTATAAAACTCAAGGAAAACAACTATTTGAAAATTCCATGGACTTGGAATGAAATGGAAATGTGAGTAAGCACTTGCACTAAAATACTTAAGTGCTCCCCTCTACATTTGAATCAAATACCCTTAACTTCGTCCAAGTATTTAGTTCCTCAAACCTCGAAGCCAAATTTAGCTTGAAGCCTTGATGAACAATAAAGTTCTTTGACCGGATCACCCACTAAAAATAACATTATAGAGCAGCGCGAGACGTAGTTATGAAGATAAATTAGATAGGAAGCCAACTAAAAAAATAATGATTAGCACATAACTATCTAAAATATTAATAGTTAAATTACTTGGGGAACATTTGGAACGGAGAAGATGTGATGTTTGAAAAACAAAAGCGTAAAAGTTGAAAGTAGGCACAACCAAAAGGATTTCAAGAGGACAAATCCTCTTTATAACTTCAGGTATTATAACTTCAGGTAATATAAGAGGCACTATCAAACGATCCATGATGTCATATTCATTCCGTTCCATTCGCCATCAAAGATACATGCAACCTTATTCTCAGTTCGTACCTCTGCGTAACCAAGATTCACAATTATCAGTTGTCCTTGAAAATCATAAGTACCATAGTAAGTCGCATATTTATAACTGAGCAGTGAAATGCATTAGATTATATGAGCCTATGTGGAGGAGGAAACTCCTTGATTAGCATAGGGACACATGAAGATCTATAATAGCAGGCGGTAAACCACCACAAAATAGGTAAAGAGTGGCAGGACTTGTAATAATTTTACAAAGGGGAAAATAAATGCAGTCATTGATTCTATCATCCCTATCACATCCTCATAATTCAAAATCTTTTATCCCACAAATTAAAATCTACCGTTTCTGTGTATCTACCTAAGCAATATTCTCATGTCAATATTCCACAATTGCTCAAATAGCACTCTCTTCTTGCTGATGCTCCTAAACTTGCAAGTCGGTTCTGATGGTGAGTAAAATTAGTCATTTAGTATGTTCTAACTTTCACAAATTTATTCAATAAACAGTCTTACTCTCACGGATCCAACCTCTCTATGTAATTCTGATAAAAAAGTCTAAGCTCTTAGCAATCTAATTACTAATTTGTTGTTCGATTTTGGAATAACGGTTATTCAACCCCGGTGGTAATTTACGTATGGACAATAAAAATATAATTGATAGTGAGGGACACCCCTGAAATTTGAAAAAACGATTATCCTACTGTAATTTGTGTATAGAAATATAAGTGGTAGGTTGGGTAATTTAAATCTAGAGCACTATTATTATTAATAAACTTAATTACCGTTGAGCTACAAGCCTACAACTCATTTGTTGTTCGATTTTGAACAATGTGTAATAGTAAAATGTCATTTTCTATCTCTAATTATTTTAAAAACCTAACAATTAAACTAATTTTAAGCTATCCTTAATTTGTATTGATTTTATGATTGTACGGCAAGTGTTGAAAGAGTCTTTCAGCTTTGGGTTACATCAAGAACAAATTTACAAATCCAATATGCGATAAGTTAGTGAATAATTGTCTAGTAGGATATATAGAGACAATTTTTTGTTAACACTATAGACACCAAGTGTATTCTACAATTATTTCCGAAAATGAAAATACATCATGGACTTTTTTAACCTGTACGAGTAAGATATTTTAATATTTATGATTTTATTTTCATTAATTATTTTTATTTTTATTACTTTAGTTTTTAAAAGAGGACACCCCTATAATAAACCGAGGGATAAAATTTAGAATGATCAGCTATAAAATACTAAACTATGGATGCTCAAGGGAACACCCAACTTCATGGCGAAGGGGACAATGTCACCAACCATGACAATATATCTTGCATGATTATTTCGAGATCTTTTTTAACGAAGAATATAAGGCGAAAAAACTTAGTGCGTGAATGACCCATAGAGGAAAAGAGGGAATCCACTACCAGGGGAAAAAACAGAAACAGAAACAACTGAAAAAGGAAAGACCTGCACAATGAAAAATGCAACATGTGGAGTGTACTCCCAAACGGCAATATGTTAGGCTTGTTTTTACCGATTGGAGTCTGTCTACTCTTTCAATGGTATGGGAAATGAGCAGAAAGCAGTCCCCTCCCCACCCATTATTGCTGGTCTCAAAACAAAGAAAGGGTCCAGAAATGTACCTTCCAAATGGTGTCCCTAGCTAGCGAGCTTTTTCTGTAGCCATTTCTGCAGCAATCAAATCAAAGCCTCCAACCAAAGAGGCCTCTGCAGCAAAGGCTAGAGAAAGAGTACAAACCCATGGATCAAAGTTTGGCTAAATTTCAACCAGGAAACTTTACCTGTAGTAACTGATAAAGACATATACACTACTGTTAATCTTTTACTCATTACACAGAGATGCAGGATTATAGAAGAAAGACATAAACACTACGGTTAACCTTTTACACGAACAAGTACAGAGATGCAGGATGATAGAACAAAGACAAAAACACTACTGTTAATCTTCCACCCCTCGCCTCCTCTTTTCCCCTTCTTCAGGTTTTTAAAGCATTAGCTTAATCAGAACCAATTAGATATTTTCTGTTGTTAAAAACAGGCAACATGTGGGTTATATTGTTCTCAATATCCCAGTATTTTGCAAAGGAACCATGACCTTTCCTAACATTGGTAACAATACAAAAGCCAGTCGGGCTGGTAGGTTTGAAACTGACATCGAGACGACATATTTTACGTAGGAATCACACGTTAATACTGAGAGTTATGAGCATTCAAAAACATATATAATTCTCAACCAGAGCCACACTAAGATGTATTCTAGTGGGATGATATTACGAGAGCATTAACTTTTCTAAGCACCACGAGATAAGGTGAGCACAAAAGACAAAATGTATACGACTTCAACCGGCAAAAGATGAAGTGGAGAACAGGACCAAGAAATGTGGGCAATCTCAGGGAAGAAAAAAAATGGAGATACGCGCTCCAAATCATATGATGTACTCCATTCAACAAAGTTAGAGAAGGCTGACAAACTAGTAGCAGAAGAAGCAGACAGTATATACTCAGTGCTATATCTAGTAAGAAACGAATAACTTTAATTTGCCTTGTATCTTATTTTTGATGAATTTATTGCCCGCAAGACCAGCAGACACGATTCTTTTTCATCAACACCCCGTTTGACTTATATTTAACAAATAAAATAAATAAGTAAATAAATAGAGCAGAACACTCAAGAATTTTATTGCATGTTATTGGTGTTTCCATGCTTTGGACTGATATAGAAGAAGAAGACACTTATGGGTGGCAACCAACAGCCAAGTGGGTCGGTCAGTGAACAAAATGCACCAAAACTGGTTAGCCATAGTTGGATATGATGGATCGTGTTTTGAGCTTTTCTAGAGAGAGAGAGAGAGAGAGAGAGAGAAGGTTTGATAGTTTTAATCCCACAGTATCTAGCTAATGTAGTTTGTTCTGGTTTCTTAACTAATCTTGCCCTGGCTTCTATTCATATACAGCTAAACTTAAAGCAAGAAAAACAAGCAGTAGCAATGGATAAACTGGGTGCTGCTAATTTCACCCTAACCACCACTCTTTCAACATTAGTTGAAAATGCCACTGGGAAACAGGCTGATGGGAAGGTGTTACCTCCCATCTTAACTACTAAGAGACATAGATGGAGGGAAAAGGCCGGCAAAGGGTGTGACTAGAGAAATTGCCACTTTTCCCAACAGAAGGAAGAGATATTATCTAAAGTGTGGGTCTAATTATAACGAGTGATGAGATTGATTAATCTTCTTCAGGTCATTTATTATTGGTCTAACAAGAACGCACATGCATGGTCCCCTCTAAGTGTGACAGGAATGTGATCATTACCGTAGGGGATTAGTGTTGATTCGTCCTATGATCATTATTAAGCTTATACTAAAACAAGGACTTTTAACATGATAGCATCTGTAGCACACTGAAGATTAAGTAAACAAAAAAGTGATATTTTAACTAACTGAATCATAGATATAATAATGATAATTGAAATGACAGGCTGTTCAGATTAATTAGACATCCCATCAGCAAAAATCACTTCAATTGTCAACAAATGGGATCAAGTAGTAGACTGACCAAGCTGCACCATTCAAGAAGCAGACGGAAAGGCTTTTGTGGCCATCAATGACTGATAATAAACTTCAAAGGAATTCATGTCTCTTAGTGCAGGACATGGAAAATCTTGGAAAGGCAAAACTATGCAGTTTTTTTTTACATCCAGAGCCTACGAAGGTTTTCTTTCCTCCTCAGGAAAGTAAATAATATAGTGAAAACAGCGAATCTAAGCTTTTGAAACAGCGGCCAGCTACAGCCCCAGAAAATCAAACCTCACTTTCGGTTCCAGCTTAGTTTGACACAATCAACGCAAGAAAGCACTTGACTGTCAAAGTTGAACAAAACCCATTTTGAACATGGAAGAAGGAAGGATTCTTTGACAGCATTGACTAGTAAGAGACAGACAAATATACCATCATGTGAGGCATGTATTATACCCTTATAAGTTATTAAGGGATGAGCTAACTCTGTGTACATGTGGTAAGTTCGAATTTTACTTACCAGAGATACTTTTCCTTCTCTACCACTTTCAGTTCCTTTTGACTCTGGTTAAAGCAACCAAAACCCTTCTCTGATTGAGGGCTAAAGTACTAACTAGTGAGTTAAAGTAAGGCCTACACTGAAGAAGCAAGCATGGAAGAGAGCATCGGATAATTGCAACTTTAATCATCAAAGTGAGAGAGGAAAGAGACTCCTAATCTTTGAGTATAAACCAGCCAAGCCAAACTTGTAAACCAAGGAATATAGCAAACTCAAGCAAGAAAATTTAAAAAGGAAGTCTAGCTGTAGTACCTTTGATAGACATGCTGCATGCCATCTAGTTCGAAGACTGAAGAGAAGGGTCTTTTGGTCCTTTCACTCCTTTGTGGATCCACTGAAAGGAAGGCGCTTTCATACTCATGTAAGGTTGAAAGGACTCCCTGGCTGCCTCTCATGCAAATTCTACTTGCATTGCAATTCTGTTTTGTGATGTGGACTCACCCTCCACCTCGCAGAGCCCACGGCTGATTGCGATTAAAAATATAACTTTCAGAAAACACTTCTTTTTTTTTTTTTTTAATAAAGGACATGCCAGGCAGATCCTTCAATGGGTTGGAATCTTCTCTATTTGCTGCACTGGTTCCATTTCCGTTGGCAGCTTTGAAGCAGAGCAGACGATTATTCTGCGCACAAGGCAAAGTCCTGATGGAATGAGTATATCGGTAAAAAAATAAACATGAAATGAACAGAATGTAAGGTAACAATATCAACCACATCAACAGCAATATGGGGAAGATGTATTAATATTATACGACGGGAGAGCAAAATACGTAGGTTGAATCATTTACGTAAGCGTGTACACCAGTAAAAAGAAGTTAAACGGGAAGCTGATATTTCTACACGTAGGGAGAGAACTTTTCAGGTAGTAACATGATGAGAACAAAAGAGGGAAGTGGATATGTTGGTTTAGTTTAGGCAAAATGACAAACTGTGATTTGAACAGCAACCAGGCTTTTTGGCGTAGCAATCCATCCCCTGCATCTGTACATTACTTGCAAGTTTATACCATTTACGCACTGCACCGTTAAAACAAGGTATAATTTCACTTGTACTGCTTTTATTTTCAAATTTGTGATTGTAAGAACTATAGCATTACACGTACAGTGAGAGTGGCTGCTTTCTAACATTCGTTAGAGAACAGAAACTGACTATACTGACATGTCGCAGCTTAGAAAAATCTCACTCCTTTCTTCCTTCATTCCCCACCTTATTAATAAAGCCTACCCATGCTTCACACACTCACTTAATTTTGCTCTGTCCCTCTCCCTCTCTTCCTACATCTCTCTCCAACTGAAAGCAAAGAGAGAGAGATCCCACCATTACGAGCAAGCAACAACAGAAACCAATACTAGCCAAAACCAAATAAAAAGATGGATGCAGCAGAGAAATTGCATGAGTATCCGACAATGCCAGAGGTACAAACGATATCTATCTATCTATCTACAAAACAAAAAGGAAAGAGGAGACTAAAAAGCTCCAAAAGGGAAAAGAGGAATTGTATTATGCATATGCTTCTTTATTTTTTTATTTTTTTTTTTTTTTTGTTCACCATCACGTTCTGTGTCTCACTGCAGCTTGCCTATGCTGACACTTGCTTCGGCAATTTTCTATTTTTAGGTGGCAGAGGAACTGAAAAGAATGACAGATATAGGTCTCCCCATAGCAGCCATGAGCTTGCTGAGCTATCTCAAGAACATGATCTTAGTTGTGTGCATGGGAAGGCTTGGAAGTCTCGAGCTAGCTGGTGGTGCCTTAGCCATCGGCTTCACCAACATCACAGGCTACTCGGTCCTTTCGGGCTTGGCGACAGGGATGGAGCCACTATGCAGCCAAGCCTTTGGTTCCAAGAACTCATCTGTTGCGATTCTCACTCTACGGAGGACAATTCTTATGCTACTTTTCGCCTCAATACCTATCGGTTTGCTATGGATCAACCTTCAACCCTTAATGCTCGCCCTCCATCAAGATCCTGATGTAATCAAAGTCGCAAGCTTGTATTGCCGATTCTCCATCCCTGATCTCGTTGCTAATAGCCTTTTACATCCTATACGTATATATCTACGAAGCAAAGGAACCACATGGCCATTGATGTGGTGCACGTTAATCTCCATTCTCCTACACGTCCCTATCGCCATAGTCCTAGCATTCACGCTGAAACTCGAGCTAGCTGGACTAGCAATCTCCACCTTCATTACCAACTTCAACGCTATATTGTTGCTGTTATGCTATATGTATTTTACCAGTCAGCCCATAGAGTCTTCTCCACTCGAGGACGAGCAACTTTTGGTTCACCCACCACCAAAAGCATCACTTACTTGTTCACTAAGCAATGAGTGGGGGGTTCTACTTAGACTCGCCATACCGAGTTGCATAGCTGTTTGTTTAGAGTGGTGGTGGTATGAGTTCATGACGATCCTAGCTGGCTACTTAAGTAAACCTCGAGTTGCTCTTGCAACCTCGGCTATAGTAATACAGACCACATCTCTTATGTACACTCTGCCTACTTCACTGAGTGCTTCGGCTTCTACCCGGGTGGGGAATGAGCTCGGAGCAGGGAGGCCTGAGAGAGCAAGATTAGCTGCTGTAGTTGCTATAGGAGTTGCTCTATTGAGTTCGTTATTTGGCTTGTTGGGAACCACACTTGGGAGAGAAGCGTGGGGAAGGGTCTTTACAGAGGACAAAGAGGTCCTAGAATTGACCATGATTGTCCTACCTATAATTGGGGTATGCGAGCTAGCTAACTGTCCACAAACAACAAGTTGTGGGATCTTACGGGGAAGTGCTAGGCCTGGCATTGGAGCAGGGATCAACTTCTACTCGTTTTACTTGGTGGGTGCACCGGTGGCCGTTGTCTTGGCCTTCGTTTGGAAACTTGGGTTTGTGGGTCTTTGCTATGGTCTTTTAGCAGCTCAAGTTGCATGTGTGGTCTCAATTTTAGTAGTAGTGTACAAGACAGATTGGGAAAGAGAGGCAATGAAGGCCAAAGACATGGTGGGCAAGAGTGACAACACACTGGCACATGAAGAACAAACATTTCTTAAATGTGAAGAAGGTGTTGGGTTCCTCGTTAAAGAAGTTGAGTATGAAAAGTGAGGAGAGGCCATATTTCGTCACAAAGAAAACAGAGGAATACGACATTGTTGGAAAAAGTTCAAGCTCTATTTTCAATCCGGTTGTTGATTATTGCATTGTAAATGAATCCAGCTCCTCCTCGTTTCTGCAGTTTTGTCCATCGTGTTATAATTCTCCTAATACTACTGTTGATCTCAATCCACACAATGCTAAGAGTTACAAAAGGTGAAAATGCAGAAAATTGGCAAGCTACTTGAGACAGGATTGACACTAGTTATTCTATAACACAAACAACACTACAGGATCAGTCATGGACCAGAACATGTTTGTGGGAAATGAACATGCAGGCATAAGTGCAAACCGAACCACATGGCATCAATGCCTAACAAAAATCTTTTATGAACACAATCTAGCTTCACTAAAATTTATCATACACGTGCAAGTTTTCGAACAGCTAGTAAGGGCATATGCAGTATATTTTGTTGGAAGAAGAAGAGAACTAAAACAAGGCAAAAGAACATGTGCCATGCACATGCAAATGACATTTCACTATCCATATCAGAATTAGTACTGCTACTACGAATATCACTGTCCAAGTCTCCAACTGCTGCACTGAAAGATAAAAAGAACTCTTAAAGTTACTCTTTCAGCAATCATATCCCCTCACGTTGTTCATTTGGCCTGCTTTCCCTCGTACGATACAGCTAGCTGCCCTAGTGAAACATAGTCAGCCGAGTCACTAGACAACACAGATACTTCTACCAAACTTCATTTAAGACTTTCTGTCCTTCACTATGACCTGTTTTTCAAACAGAAAGGCCTCTAGAGGCTCCAATTCTGAGACTATTCGTTTATGGACTGATCAAACAAGAACCACCTAATAAATCGATGTTGAACTTGACCTGAAGGGAGTATCCCCTCCATCTGGCAACCAGTATTGCCAACATTGAAAATATTTTGTAGCCTGTTCCTTCCTATATCAACATTGGTCACGGACAGATTTGGTTCTCTCATGAATATCCCTACGTTTGAATATCAAAGATACCAACAAACGTCAGCCAACCCATATGAGAAAGCTTGATGCTCACCCCCATCAATTTGTTGGCCCCAAAACCAAACAACACGTTTTGTTTCCTATTCTAACCAAACCCCGATTCTGGCTCTTCTAAGTTCTCTATTTTTGCCTATAAGGTGAATGTTTCACATGTTATTTGGCCCAACCACTCCTCCCGACTAGTAGCCACTACAGCCAGATCTTTCACCCAAAGAGAGAAGTACAAGAGTGAATCGAGTCCAAGGAAAATAGCTAATAAAGTCTCATTCAGACATTTCGTCGAATAGTTGGAAGTTTTAGCTACTGCTGCTCGTAACCAGACAAAAAAAGAGAGAGATCGGACGCGACATGGTCAAACCACTGCTCGATAGTGCAAAAACAGAGGAGCTAAGACTTTTTGACGATTCCAATCGAACAGTCGGTTCATTCATGTTCAAACAGCGGAACGGGAGACAAAGAATATATTAGTACAGGATCGATCAGACACAGAACAGAACGCAAGTAGCAGTAAAGTAAAGCGTTTAGACTACTGACCGTATTCCGGTGCTCTGATCCCCTTCCTTAGGCGTCCGATCAGTGAGAATCGCCGCCGCCGGCGACGGTTGACGAACAGGTGACGACTCCGATTCTCGCTGATGTTCATTCCGAAAGCGTGATCGGTGGCGCATATTCTTCGATCGACGTCGAAATCAAAAGGGAAAATCGTCTAGGAGCCGGAACGGAGTTCCTTAGTTTGTTATGGCCTCCGCGCGCCATCGGCGAAATGTGAAGCGGCGGAGAGAACCTCCGCGCGGGAAGTTTTGGGCATTAGCCTACGTGCAGCGCAGCAAATATTGCTTTTCAATTTGACTTTCAAGTTTTTACTGATAGGTTAGATGTTAATGAGCCGAGGTATGTCGAGTTTTGTCTTGTTCGGATTAATTAGCCGAGTTTAAGTTTAACTCATTGAGCTAAGTCAAATCGAGATCAAACCGATTCTATTAAAATATTGCTTATTATTAGATTAGTAGTTAGACTCAACCTCAATTCTAAGATACTTTATAAACTAAATATTCTAATATATATATATATATATACCCCATGCTTTTGTTGATGTTAGTTCATCCAAGGACAATAATCAACTCAAAGTTCATTAGATACACAGACTAAAACGTTTTAAAAATTTTAAAGTTTTAAATATTATATGGAGTGAGATATACACAGTGGCGTAGCCAGACTTAGAATTGACTGGGATCTTTAAAATTTTTAAAACGTTTTAGTTTGTGTATCTAATGAACTTTGAGTTGATTAGTGTCCTTGGATGAACTAACATCAACAGAAGCATGGGGTCGTTGATACAAAGAATCATACTAAACCCTACATATCTAAAGAGTTTGTTGCCCAATATTTTCGCAAGTGGGGTCCTAGGACCCCTCTCCTCTACATGTGGCTCTGCCACTGGGTATACAATTTAATAAACTAATGAATCATAAGATATAGATCAATTTTTCTCATGTTGACAATCAATCTCGTTGGCTTGCTAGTCACAATGTTGAGACATCTCGTGAGCTCAAAACAAGGCAGTTCATGAGTTGAGCTCAACAAGCCACCTAATCGAACTAGCTCATGAGGTAGAGAAGGCTTAACTCAAGCTCGGCTCGTTAATAAATGAGTTACGTCTTCCTCGAATCAAACAAATTTTTTTCGAGTTGAACATCGAGCCGCTCCCGAGGTGGGAACTTAGCAAAAAATCTTAGCAGCTTTCAGAGGATACAAACGAAAGCCGTAGAAGGAGATCCTCCACGTTTGGCTTCCGAGAGACAGAAAGTAGATAGGAAGATTTGCCAAAACACTTTTTAATAACACCAACCTGCCTCCAAAGGACAACATCATTGCCTTCCAAGTAGTTAGACGCTTCTGCACTTTATCAATAACTAGTTCCCATATTGCCAAGGACACAGCTTTAGAACCTAAGGGGAGTCCTAGAAAAGTAGTCAGGAGAGTTTCCAATTTGCAACAAAAAATATCCGGCAAATGCTTTGGATCCTCCACCTCCCCGCTACTATCATAGAACTCTTTTGCAAATTAACCTAAAGTCCTGAGATGGTTTCAAAGAGTGCCAAAATCGTAAGGAGAAAACACACCTGCTCCTCAAACGCATCACAAAAAAGTAGGTGTCATCACCATAGAGGATGTGATAGACCTCTCCAATCCTTAATTCCTTGTTCATAAAGAAACCCTCAACTAAACCATGAGCTTGAAGATTTTTCAAGATGTTAGAGAAACCTCCTATCACTAAGATAAACAGAAAGGGGAGCATGGAATTACCCTATCTGAGGGATCTCTCACTAGGAAAAAAACCTGAAGCTTCTTTGTTCGCCAATACAGACAAAAGATGCCGTGGAAATACAACTTTTGATCTAAAAGATAGCCAAATAGCGGGGAAGCCCATACTCTTAAGGACCGATAAAAGACAATTTCAGTTGACATGATCATATGCCTTTTTTTATATCAAGTCTTAAGACCAATTCAGGTTTTCTAACTCTTTTCCTTGAGTCAATCAATTCATTGACATGATCATATTCCAGTAATGATTTTTTTGTTGCAAAGATACTTGCATACTTTCCACTAAATCACATTACATAGATGATTTCTAACTTTAAGCTTTTCTTCCCGGAGAATGAGGATGAGACATTACCTATTTACCTTACAACCTCTAGTGGGAGGCATGCTTGTGTTGTGTTAGAGGACGATGAAATATATATTTGCTTGAAGTAGTATTCTTATTCATCTTTGACCCTCCATTTTAATTATGTGATAAATTTTTAAATGGTGAAACGATATAGGTTAGATGAAATGTATAGTTGTATTAAAAAAAATCAGTTTGGCCCATCATATGAAATAAATAACTGAATGAATTTTATTGATTTTGAGAAAATGAAAATGACATGGGTACATAGTAGAATTGTAAAAATTATTGATGTGGTAGTAGGAGCCGCTCGTATGACAAAAAATTTATTTAAAATTTTTTTATTTCATGCATGTGGATGTTATAAGTAATCGAGCTCAACAAACAACTTGGAACGTGGAAAGAACATCGATAATGATGCAATTATACTAACATTACAAATATAATGTATATTCGTTTACCGAGAGAAACAATAAGATCCCTCTAAAGTCTAAACAACACACTAAATGTTGGGCCATAGCTGAGTGGCATTGGGCTTGGAGGCCCAAGGTGTAAGGCCCGTTCAAAGGGCCCAGGAGAGTGCATCTGGGAGAACGTAGCGCATGGGGAACAGAGAAAGGAAGGCAGCCATACTAGGACAAGACAGGTACTAGGACGCCTGACACAAAGAGCTGTTACGGGCAGAATGGGAGATCCTCCGAGGATACTCACCTCTAACACTGCAGGACTAAGCATTAATTGCCGCCGTAGGCGGTCTAGATAAAGCAAAGCCTGAACTAGGACGCCTGACATGGCATTTAATGCTTAAAGTCCAGCCCAAACCACTATAAATACATTTCTATATGCATTGATGGTAAACCAACTACTCTCTCTCTCTCTCTAAAGATTACAAAACCTTATATTCCCTCTCTAACTTAAGCATCGGAGGGTGTCCGGGGTGACCGCCCACGGACCCTTGTTTTGCAGGAGCTTGGAGTCCCCCATCATCTGGAACAGACGCCTTGCTCGCTTCCACAAACCGCCTAGAACATTCTAGGCTCAAACAATTTGGCGCCCACCGTGGGGCGAGCATTGCACTGAAGAAAAGATGGATGAGAGCTCCAACACTCCCGTCAAAGGCGTAGTAGAAAGAAGTCACCTCCGCGCACCAGACGCACCAGCGAGCGGAATGCGAGGAATGGAGATGCCAACTGTGGAAGAGGAAATGGATATGGAGGACCGCGTAAAGAGCCAGGGACAGCAAATATCGAGTATGCAGGAGAGCTTGATCCAAATATTGGCCATGCTCAAGGAAAAAGAAAGTGACACCCCTGAAAGCTCGGGAAAGAAGGCGGTCAAAGGAAAGAGGAAAGAAGGCGGTCCTGGCAGCCCCGTCTTAACAGAAGGCGAGGAGTCAGACAGAGAAGAAGGAGAAGAGGATCTCAGCTTAGGATTCCTTGAAGAGCACCTTAAGCCCTCATACGGAAAGGTAAAGGGTCCCAACATCCTACAGAACCCGCTAGCAAGAAGTTTCTTTAAGACCCAAGTTCCCCCAAACTTCTCGTCACTGGGGCTCCCCACATACAATGAAAGCTCAGATCCCGCCGATCATTTGAGCGCTTTCATGCTCACTATGCAACTCAACAACGCTACAGACGCTGATCTGTGTAAGGCGTTCCCGGTCACGTTCAGTGGCCACTGTCGAACCTGGTACACCTCCCTACCAAAAGGGATAATAGAAAACTTCGAGCAGTTTGCGACTCTTTTTTCCTCGAAGTTCGCGTCGCAAAGGAGGAGGAAGCTGACGGTTTCGTCACTCATTAATTGCAAGCAAGGAGGAGAAGAGTCGCTGACAGATTTCTACGACAGATGGAATACGATAGCCTGCGAAGTGCAGGGGATCTCGCCAAGTGTGGCAGCAGGAAACCTGCGCATGTCAACACATAGTCGCGAGCTCCAAAGGGCGCTCATTATGAAAGAGCATTCACTAAAAGAATGGACCGATCTGGACCGCCTTGTGAGGAAGGCGATCCTGCTGGAAGAGGCCATGGCAATCGAAGAAGCTGTCAAACGCCCCAACCCAAGAGAAGGAGCGGAAAAGAAGAAGGGAGGATCGCCTAAAAGGAGAGGGCGCTCTCCAGAAAAGCGAGGCTACAAGTCGCGTTTTACGCACCGGGATAACAGGAAGGAAGTTTTCACCGCCAGCCAAGACGGAGGTCGAGATCGGAGGAATGACAGCAATGCGCATCAGACGCACAGGAGAGAAGATGATCGAAAATGGTGCGACTGGCACCAAATGCCCACCCATGACACCACAGAGTGTCGGGAATTCAAAGCCAGCCTAAAATACTTAACGCCCGGAGACCTCCGGAGCCGTTTGGATACGAGACCGCAGAGGGAAGAACAAAGACACCACAAAGATAGGTCGCCAAGCCCGAGGAGGAGGTCGCGCACACCCAAGCGAAGGAGGTCGAGGTCGCAGAGAAGGGAGCGTTCCCCTAGGCGGGAGCGTCTGCCACCGCTGCCAAGGAGGTCCCCCCCCCACATCGACAACCGCGCGTCAACGAAGACGACGTGGAAGTCATAACTATCGCAGGCGGTCGAAAGAGACCCAGAAGCGAAGGGGAGCGCCTAATCCAATGCTTGAACGTCCACAAAAGCGAGCAGATAGATATCAGTTTCTCGCCTGATGAGCTGGCACCCGAAGAAAGCGCGGAGGATCCTCTAGTCATCTCCTTCAGAACAAGAAAGTTCAAAGTCACCAGGGCACTGGTCGACAACGGCAGTTCAGCAGACATACTGTTCTATTCTACTCTCAAGAGCATGAAAATGAGCATCCAAGATCTCAAACCTTCTGCCACAAGCCTGGTGGGATTTTCAGGGTCGAAAATCAGAGTGCTGGGTTTGATCACGTTGCAGGTGACAATCGGAGAAGGAAACATAACGAAGACTCGTTCCATGGATTTTCACGTAGCAGACTGCCCATCGGCATACAATGCGATCCTGGGGCGTGGTTTCCTGTCATTATTCTCAGCGGTCCCATCCACTTGCCACCAAACGCTTAAGTTCCCAGTGGGCGGGCGAATTGGACGAGTCAGAGGAAACACCGAGCAAGCAAAGGAATGCTACCAGGCGACCATAGAAAGCTTGGAGGTGGACCTGGTGGACACCAGAGGCGGTCATCCTCGCCTAGAGACAGTAGAAGGTGATGCGGAGGTAGTGCTTGATGGCGAGGAGCCAGAAAAAAGGTGAGAATCTCTTCCCACCTCGCGGAGGAAAAAGCAAGAGAGCTCC